CTCTGGCCAAAAGAACCAGGTATCCGTTTTTCTGTGCTTCAGCTTTGATATTCAAGGCTGTTTGTATGACCTCACCAACTGGCAGAAGAGTACCACATCTCTCTCTCTCTCTCTCTCTCTCTCTCTCTCTCTCTCTCTGTCTTGTTCTCTTTCCCTCCCTCTCACTCTCTCTGTCTCTCTTTCCAACATCTAAATGTGTGGTAGAGTTTGAATAGAGCTTCTTTCTGCACTCCTACACAGGCAGGAGCAAGAGGCCCCTGGAGTCGCTGGCACTGGGAGAGCTGCAGCATCAACGGTACGTTTACAACTCACCACTGGAGACCCTAACAAGGAATATTGTGAAGAGGTTTTAGGGGATACTTTTACATTTCTTCCTTTGCTTGGGGGACAAGTAGTGATTCAGGTACTCAGATGCCAAATCAAAGGTAACATTTTGAAGTTTGTTTTTCAACAGGTAATTATAGCGGATAGACATCACATTTGATGAATTAGATCACACTAAAATGTTTTTAGATTCTTAGTGTTGTGGTCTTCATGCCATTGGAGTTGTGGGATTTTTTTTTTCTTTCTTTTATTTGATGAGCTTATTTATTGGTGTAATTCATTAGATTTTATTACTTGATTGGAAAATTGTATTCATATAGTCATTAGTAATAATATAGTTTGCATCACTTTACTGTATTATTAAATGTAATCAGTGTGTTAGGAATCAGCTCATTGTAGTACTCTTTGTGGCATTGTGTCTTAAAGCTGACTGTTTTCTAAATGATTTGATCAGTCCTCATATCCTCATATAGTGACCATTTAGACAGTGGTCTAACTGTTAACATCTTGCTTAAAGCAAAGTAATTTCTCCTTGCAACCCTTCGATACTGTTTGCATGTGTCTATCAATTTTAACCGCTTCAATCAAATAGCTATTTGTACTCTTCCTTTTTTTTTTTTTAGAGACCTGAGTAATTTCACAAGCAAAGATTAGAGGAAAGCCGGAAAAAATATTTTGTAGGATACAGCAGAAATGTTTTTTCAGCTCTCCTGTCTTGCAGTCCCTTAAATGCATCTCTCTATCGCTAGAGTAGGTTCAGTGCTGATGTAGATCGCAGGCACCATTTGTAATAAGATTCTAAAATGTGCTACAGCACTAACTGTCAGTGACTTTACGACTGAGGTCAAATTTATTACAAATCTTTATATGTCAGACACTGCAGTCTTGCTGTTGCTTAGCGGAAATTAGTTAATATATTGTCACACAAGGTCAGAAATATGTTGTTTTCACACTGAAGTCTTGAATGAAAAGTGGCTTTAATTCTCTTTTGAATTAAAATTACAGGTGGTGTTGACTAGAAACTGCTCCACATGTTATTTGGGTAATGGAGTTTGAACAGTGAGAAACAGTGTTACTGAATGGACAATACTGGGAATGACTGTCATAAATTGACATCCTGTTACTATGGTTACATCAGGCTGCATGAGCATGCCTGTTGTGAATTGTAATTCTCAGGTGTCAACATAAAAAAAGCAACTGAGAAGGGCTCTGTTAAAGCAAATATCTTTACACTTTGTATTATTTAGAATAAACTCAGATTTGAGACTTTAGATGTCATCCTTGCCATCCGCTGTGTGCGTGTTTGTGTGTCTGCTTGTGAGTGTGTGACACATTTATCCAACTAATGTGCACATGCTGTCTGATCAGTCCTTTGATCTCAGTCTGCTGAGTATGTAGGCATGTACTAATGTACTCATAAGCACCTGTGAATGTGAATTTTTTCCCTCCACCCATTTCACTGTACAAGAGTCTGTGTGTGTTCTCAAACACAGGCCTTACAGTATGTGTCAGTAGCGACGTATGTGCGTTTTTCTTTACCAGGGGTATCAGACGTGCGCTCCCACACATCCCCTTGCTGATCTATGAGTGTTGGTCTGTGTTCCTGTGTGTGTATATACATATCAATGTCGACTCTGTTCTGCTGCTGAGGGTTAGAGGAGAGTGGGTGGAGGGGGGAGGTGGTGAGCGGAGGGCTCCCCTGGATGCCCGCCTTGTGTTTACCTTGGCAGGGTTGCACCCCCCAAGGCCCCGCCCCTGTCCACTGCTGGAACAGACTGAGGCCTTATTGCCCTCCACCTCAGCTGGGAGCAGAACATACCACAGCAGCCGAACAGGGGAGCAGCAGCCACCCCACTGACTGAAAGGGCACACTGTGGAAAGAGGGCTGACCTGGCCTGGCCAGGTTTTCTCGCACATGCTGGTGCCACATTTTAAATGATGCATTTAAAGAGAGCAGAGGATCTGCCCAATGGTGGCGTGGTATGGAGGCAACGTTTTGGCTTGAGAAACGGGGGAGGGCTTTTGCTGGCGTCCCATGTGTTAATGTATTCTGAGAGAGTGAGCACAGTTTGATTGTTGGCTAGTTACAGCTACCTTTGTTCATCTTTGGAAGGAACACCCCAAGTGTGACATATGAGGCTGTAATTTTATGTAAAGTTATAATAGAGTTGGTTCTTTTAGGCAACAGCCATATCTTCCTTCAACCTTTATCAAACATTCACAGCAATAAAAATACAGAAAGATTCATTGCAGGTTGCTGCAATGTCTGCACCCCTCTGACCACACCCAGCATCACGATGAATTTGGCGCCACTGCACGTGCAGTCACACTAAACAAAGATGTCACATTACACTGACACACCTGGAAGAACACGTCTGCATCATTGCAGCAAGACCAGAAAAATCAGCTGCTGTTCAGCTGCTCCTTTTTGGAGATATAATACATACCTGTCACTTGTAGGCTGCAAATGTTCTTATCTGATTGTTTGGGATATTGCTGTAGACAGTGTGACTTTATGGCAAGACAGTCAGTGTGCAGCCACAAAAAGATGGACATTTTCCAGAAACAAAGTTTAAAAAAGGTCACTGGATTTAGATTTTCCATAAATCAGAGAGTTGGAATTGTATTCTTAATTCAACAGTTTAAACCAGCTTTCAACAGTCAAAAGCTTGTATTAATAGTCTCTTTGATGCTTGCAGTCACATCTTAAAGTAAAATATCATGGGAGCATGTAGTTGAAATTAATTTGGAAAAAGTAATAATAATGGTAACAAGCCAGAAGAGTTGAGCTGCAGGCCAATAATGTTTGCTGAAAATACAGATTCATACAAGGAATAACTTAAAGCACTTGCGAATAATTCAGAGAAGTCAAAAAAAGCCAGAAGTCAAGAGTCAGTCAGAAACACAGGGCAGCAAAAATAAGCAAAGAATTTGCAAAGACGCTCCTGCAATAGACAGAGCATCTTAGACTCACAACAAAAGTACAACAGTATGTGATTATTCCCGTGTGGATTTGTCCTTCTGTCTACATATGCTGTGTGGTATTTTGTGTTTCCTCCCAGACTGTGCCAACATTCACTACCAGACAGATCTTAGACAGCAGTGCAAATATTAGTCCTACTGTACTGTATGTGCTGATCTGTGGAACTCTGAGAATGCTAGCAGCCCACACACACACAAACACATGCCCTCATTCATACACTATGTAGTCCACACACAGATACACCTAATGCGTCTGCATAAAGTTGTCATGCATTCCAGTATACACAATTGTGTTCTTTTATGCAGAGTCACTTGAAACACGAAAAGTCACTGCAGCTCTCTGTTGGTCTTCCACCAGACTGCCATTCTGTGGTGAGCTACGGCAAACGCTTTGTGACCGTGAGCTTGAGGTTCACTGGTTGTAAATGTCTCTCTGTGACTGTTTGGAATGAACTGGGAGCCCGTCTTGGGGCTTGTGAACGCAGCACAATGAGGGTTCAGTTGGGACTTGCAACGGTTTCGTATATTTGACTGCGCTGCACGTCACAGCAGTGGAAAGTTGAGAGAAAATAAGCAATGTGGTAATCAGGGTTTGACAGATGCGACTTTGTGATACTGAAGCTGATATTTTTGAACTTAAGGTGCCAGTTGCTGATATTTAATTATATCTATGGTGGAGTGTGACTTTTGTGACCTATAAAAACAAACAAAGAAAAAAAAAAATCAGTAGCTGCATTCAGTTACCGTAGGAGCTAGGATTGCTTTGTGTGTTTTGTCTGTTTGTCTAAATTCCAACATCCTGTCATCATGCTGACATGCTGATGTTTTTCACACTGGGTAGAGCTGAATCTGATAAAAAAAATCAGTTTTACAGTTGTTTGGTAATAAAAACAAAGTGGACAAATGTAGTTTTTAACCTAAAGAATTTATTGGATAAAAAGTCTGGCGAACATAATATGTACAGGTATTGTGTTAAAACAGCCGACAGACAACAGACAGTATTGGCATGCATTCTGTATGTATACACTATATATAGGTTTTGCAATCTTAAACAAGCAGACACACACATAATAAGCAAAGTTCTGGTTTGAGGGAAAGCCCAACTTTAACATTCATTGCTTCCTTAGTTTTAAACAAATGGAAAAGCATTTGAGATGAATGAATCATACTTCTTCCTCACTGCCCAAACTTATTATAGCACTAAACACATTTCCTGTGTCCACAGACAGAGGGGCTTTCATTCCTCAGTAGGCATTTCCAAATGATACTAGAGGCTCTTGACGTCCACTTTCCATTTTAGCTACTAAGGCTGACGCAATAAGCCACTGCACTGCATATTCTGGATTATACAGAATATGAAAATACATGTACAGGAGTTAGGAAAAAACATAGTGGCACACAGGCAGAGAAAATTGGATAAATAAAACCTTTCATTCACTCTAACACTTAGGTCACTATTCATTCACACAAATGAGCATTCCTGGTACAGAGAAGTTAGAGAGTTTGTGTTAGTTTACTTAGTCTACACTTGTTTTATTTTTTCTTTGCTAATTTTATCAGATGTGATCAAAAAGTCATGTAAGACTTGAAAAGGGAAAATCTCACTAAACATTAAATGTGTTTTCAGTGGGTTTCAACTTTATCATTTTGTCAACATAGATGTGATTTTGATGTTGGGTATTTTTCAGGTAACAATGACCCCCCTACTTCTGCTGTGTGTGTCTTTGATGCCCCTCATCTCGGCAACAATATCATTTGAAGACCATGATGGTAAGGGGCCCCTGTGATACATTCCAGTGGCAGTTGTTGCACTTCAGCATTATTTTTGGAAGAAGAGTGGAAGTAATGTCAACCTAGACCTTTAATCTATTTGAAGTAATGGAGGGATCAGGATCAGTTAATCCAATTCTCTACTGTGTACACAATCTGATTAAAAGTTGATTATGTTTTTTGCTAGTGTTTCAGATAAGTCTGCTTTTCTCTTGTTGTCTCTTTTCAATCATTTACCAGCATAGATTTATTCTGCTACACATTTGTAGAGATGTAATTGTCCTGCAAATAAGTGGTAAATAAAACAAAGTAATTCTACGTAAATTATTATGATCAATACGTTTTTTAAGACATTATTTCAGTGAATCAATTGATGCAATTCTCCTAGAGTAAGTCATCCATTATCACAGACACAATTGCTAATTTGACCCCTGATCTTAGTTGCTTCTAATGTTCAGGTCAGATGTGGGAGAATATATGTATAGGATATTAGATTGCACCATCAGTCATAAATGAAAACAATATTTACCTATCTTTACCACAGACGTGGATGGCACATTGCGTGTCAGCATCCCTATGGAGATGCCTCTCCGTCCCCTGCTAGGCGGCAAAGTCGTGGTGCCATGTTACTTTCAGGACAACACCGTCAACGATCCTGGAGCCCCCACCATCGCCCCACTCTCTCATCGCATCAAATGGACCTACGTCACCAAGGAGAAAGTCAGTACAATCCTGGTGGCATCAGAGGGAAAAGTTCATGTGGAGACAGAGTATTTGGACAGAGTGACAATGGTCAACTACCCATTGGTGCCCACTGATGCCACCATGGAAATTACAGAACTGAGGTCCAAAGATTCTGGCACTTACCGGTGCGAAGTGATGCATGGCATCGAGGACAACTACGACTCTGTGGATATCCAGGTTCAGGGTATGCTCCTGACATATTTCAGTTCACTGTTGTGGGCTATAAAAGTAGTGTCATCACTGTTTGTCCAACAACCACATTCACTGTTAGAGTTCAAAACTGAAAGCTAACAGGAAGAGCTTTTTACAATTCTAGAAACAACACTTCTGCTTAGTTTTTGATTGGGTATGCATAAAGAAGTAGCTGTAAAAAGCATATTTGAGTAGAATGGCATTTCTTCAGAGTTCCTCCACTCACTTTGTGTATCTCACAGGTATTGTGTTCCACTACCGTGCCATCTCCACCCGTTACACCCTGACGTTTGAGAAGGCCAAGGCAGCCTGTATCCAGAATAGTGCCAACATTGCTACTCCAGCCCAGCTCCAAGCTGCTTACGATGATGGATATCACCAGTGTGATGCTGGATGGCTTTCTGATCAGACTGTCAGGTAGTATTCATTTAACCATCAAATTTCTATATTTTATGAAGTTTGCAGAGATCTGGACCATATGTGCACACAGGTTGGAGAGAAAAGGAAGGTAATGTCAATGAAGAATTTACAAGTCACAACTTCATTGAGCAGACGCTTTTATCCAAAGTGATGTACATCTGAGAGGAGATACTCATTCATACATCAATGGCAACAGAGCTACCATGAAAAGTACCATTGGGGGAGCTGCCATTGGGAGCAGTTTCAAGAGCAGGAGATTGAACCACCATCCTTGTGATTATAGGACAAGCCACCCTACCACTTGAGCCACAGCTGCCAGATCAGTCCATTTTGGCGAACACAAGTCATTCTCATTCTCGTACTCATTTTGAGTTTCCAGTTTATCTAACTTGCACGTCTTTGGTCTGATTTGAAAAGCTAGACTACCTTGAGACACCCACACAGAGAAAGGGAGACCCTGCAATGTAAAACCTGGTAAATTACTCTGTGGTGAACTATTTTATCATGAACCTGTGTGGGAAAAAAACCCTTCTGACCTATTTCTTGGCCAGAAGACTCCAGGAAGTCACTGTACTGGCCAAGATACCATCCAGCACATACACGAAAGTAAAATTTAAAAATGCAGTTTTTACGCTACAGTATTTCCACAGATTACACAATATAGATACATGCATTGGTTACAAGCTTTACAGGTGCTAGTAGCTGGATGACGCGACCTTTGGACAGAGCCAGGCTAGTCGTTTCCTCCATCTCAGGCTTATGCTAAGCTAAGCAAACTATTAGCAGTTGGCTTTAGTTTCTTATTTAACATCAGAGATCAATCAATCAAACAAAGTGAAAGAACTATTGTTTCTAACCTCTAATCGGACTCTGACTGAAATCTTTGTCTCTTCAAGATACCCCATCCATGAGCCACGGGATCGATGCTATGGTGACAAGGAAAACTTCCCTGGTGTGAGAACTTATGGCGTGAGAGACGTCAACGAGACCTATGACGTATATTGCTTTGCAGAGAAGATGTCAGGTATGTTCATTGAACTTGGGCAGCAACAAAAGCTACCTGATCCACATGAAAGATCTAGAACATAAACACAACTGCATATGTGACCATATTCTCCTGCCCTCCTCAATCCTCTCTCCTCCCAGGCAGAGTCTTCTACTCCACGTCTGTAGAGAAGTTCACTTTCTATGAAGCAGGAGATCAGTGTGCCAAACTAGGTGCCAGACTTGCCACTACCGGAGAGCTTTACCTTGCCTGGAAAGGTGGCATGGATGTGTGTAATGCTGGCTGGCTGGGCGACAGGAGTGTTCGCTACCCCATCAACATTGCCAGGCCTCAGTGTGGAGGGGGGCTCCTGGGAGTGAGAACCGTCTACCTGTTCCCCAACCAGACAGGATACCCCTACCCAGACTCTCGCTATGACGCCATCTGCTTTCAGGGTAAATTCCTTAGGAGAACTTGTAGGTATTCGTACGCTGAGTGATAGCAATTTTGACTTTTCAGTGCATTCTGGGGGCTTCTTTTGTGTCACAATATGTATTCAGTAATGATAAGTTCAGTCACGTGATAAAGTAAGTGGAAATTGCTTTGACATATTTGGAAAAGCAAAACATGTTGACTTTTTCCTACAATTTCCATTGCACACATTTCATTTTTCATGTGACTGTATTTTAAGACATGACTTCTGAAATGTCTGAGGTCATTCCTAACTGGAAGTATAAATAGCTACCCTTGCTTCTTGACTACGAAAGCCATAAAACCATGTAAAGCATTCCCTCTTGTCTCCTCAGCTGGTGAGGATGGAGGTGTGGTGCCTGTGAGGACCACCCCCTTCCCTGACATCATCAACATGACACCTGCCCCTGGATTGTTTCCAGGCAGCACCCCTACAGCTGGAAGCAAGGAGATTAGGTTTGGTGGTGTGGACACTTTTTCTCCACGACCCATCCCACCCAGTGTGACAGATGCAGTGACCCCTGTGATACGTGAGCCTGGACTGGGTCTCACAGATATATACGCTTCCATGGCTCCAACCGGTAAGTTGGTTATGTGCTTAAATCCTTTGGAACACATTTGTTTCTCGAAACTGTGAAACTACATTTTAGAGCAGTGCTTTAAAATGACCCAACAGCAAAAAGACATTGGTAAAAGAACAGCTTCAGTCTAACTCAAGCACAGAATTTGTTATATATTGCTATATATTATATTATAATTCTGTTTAAATTATTATATATGATACTTTATTTTGCATATATGTTGTTACTAATAATAATTATTTATTTATATTATTTATATTTCTCATATATCCACAGTGTTCCTACCTCAACAGTGCAATATATTTATTCTACTGTTTGGCTAACTGTATATACTTCCTACTGGCTCCTTTTGTAAATACTTATATATATATTCTCATTTGTCTTTTTATACTTTTACTTTTATACCTCTGCACCACTGGAGTTGTCTTTTAATTTTGTTGTACCTTGTGTATGATGACAATAAAAGCAGTCTATTCTATTCTATTCTATAAGCATCAACGTCTTAACAACAAAGCTTTCTTTAAATCTAAATGCACCACTTCCCACAACCCTCTCGTGCATTGCTGCCAATTGTTTGCCCAGAAATCCAATTGCTACTCTAGTGCAAAAACTGTGAGCAAATCACCACAGTCTGCATCTGGAAATCAGGAAGTAAAAACAGGACTTGACCAAGTAGTTGAATGAAAAAGAAGTCACAATAAGATTAAGTGAGATTACTCTTTTTATCCCCCTTCTTTTTTTCACAGGTGTGGTGTTCCACTACCGACCCATCACCGGTCGGTACACTCTGACCTTTTTAGAGGCTCAGCAGGCTTGCCAGAGTATTGGGGCGGTCATCGCCAGCCCTCCACAGCTGCAGGCAGCCTTTGAGAAAGGTCTACATCAATGTGATGCTGGCTGGCTGCGTGACCAATCTGTCCGGTGAGCTGGTTGCAGGTTTAAAATAACATAGTTTCATTTTTTTTTCCATGCAAAAACTGATGGTCTTGTTCTTGGCTTCTTATGACAACCCCAATGATGACATCAAATTCATTAAAAATGTGTAAAGATCCTGGCTGTTCTTAAGAGAGATGGGTTGTTCACAAGAAAACAAGTCCTTAATATACTGCACTTACACTCTCTTTCGTTCTTAGGTATCCAATTGTGTCACCCAGAGATAACTGTGCTGGTAATCTGCCACACCTTCCAGGAGTCCGATCCTACGGCCTGAGACCAGCCACTGAACGTTATGATGTGTTCTGTTATGTAGAACGTCTCAGAGGTGAGAAGCATTAAGACTGATATCTGGAGGAGATCAAATCACGAGAGTTTACATTTAAAAGAACTTTTATCATCTATCTGCCTGGTTACTACCGCTATGTTTGCACTCATCTGAATGTTGGTGCTTTATTCTGTCTGTCAGGTGAGGTCTTCTTCACCAGCGACTATGACAGTTTCTCCTTCGAGGAGGCTGTGCAGCACTGTCAGAAACTCAACACCACCCTGGCTACTCCCGGGCAGCTGTATGCTGCCTGGAATCAAGGACTTGACAAGTGCCGCCCAGGCTGGCTGATGGACCGCAGCGTCCGCTACCCCATCACATCCTCCAGGTCTCACTGTGGCGGCGGCCAGGTGGGGGTCCACATCATCTACGCCTACCCCAACCAGACTGGCTTCCCCGATGAGCACTCACGCTACGATGCCTACTGTTTCAAAGGTAGGAATGGGTTAGGTTTGATTTAATTCATGTGCAAAAATAAAAACGCAATCACTCACAAGCTACAGGTTAATATTTGCCTAAGTTTTGGTTCAGTTTGATACTTTACAGGAGTGATTCCTGAACAGGGGAATTTGTACCTTAAGAGGAACTTCGCCCCTCATTAAATTGTGTAAATATCAGCTTTTATTGAGATATGATTCATGCGTAAGAGTGATTACTCACTGATTCACTTTGATAAAATGATTTGATTAACAAAAATGCAAATATTTAATATATATATATGTTGTATGTTTGGTTAACAACACATGAATTTATATATATGAATTTTTAAATGATAGGTCAAAATAACATACATATTCGATGGATATCTCAAAATGACAGTTAAAGCAGTGAGATAAACTGCAGGATAAATGGCAAAGAGGATAAAAAAATAAAGCAGGCTGGAAGCAACGCATTAATGGTTGAAACTATGAATGTGTTTCTGATTTATTGTAACATTTACCATCATGTTTTCAGTGTGACATGATATTATACTTTGCGATGAGAGTGACATGAATGCAATATTTTCATTAACAGCAGGCACAGCGCATGTTTTCATTCTGTGTTGGGTTTGCTATGCCATTTTTGTCAAGATGACATTATTCCTTCAAAATTCAACATGTTACATAATTGTTGTTGTTACATAATTTTGTCTTTTTCAGCTGAATATCCTGTTGTTCATGTCGAAAATGAAACCAGTATAGATCTGACGATAGTGACGGTGGATGTTATCAACAAGACAACAATCACAATTGATCACTTTGCTCCCACTGGTAAGACCAGATGCATAAAATGTGTTCTTTTAAATCCTTATTAATACTGCCATTAACATTTACATGCCTTTTGACAAGAAGCAAACAGTTTCTCAATCTGGTGTTTATCAATTTGCACTGCAAAGTTTCTAATGTACAGACAATGTTAAACTATTTTGCTCTAACCATGTGTTTTGTTTACTTATAGTTGACACTACTGTAGACTATAACGAAACTGAAACCCATATAACTATTACTGAAACTGAGTTTATCAACAAGACAACCGTCACAACTCAACATGTTGCTCCTACTGGTAAGACTGCTGGAAACTACTGTGTGAATTAAAACTGCCTTTATTTTCCTTGTTCATGGCTTGCAATAATCAAAATCGATGTTTTTTTGGAGACGTAAAAGTGGCCGCAATAATAAAATAATTAAATTCTGCTTCATGACAGCACTTAATACTAAGTGTGCCAGGGGTTTTGGAATAGGATCAATAAGGCTGTGAAAAAATGCTGTTGGCTGTTTTGAATATTTAAACAATGGCTGCAAATGATTTGGACCAACAAGTACTTATAAAAGTCTTTTGAATACTTTATGAAATTAAAATATTTTAAATGATTTATTAACGTGTATGACTGCAAATCTGATTACTTATCAGAAAGTCAGAAAATTATTTAGTTACCAAGAATAGAGACATAAGTAACATTTTATAAGCCCTTTATAAAGAACATCTTGTTAGAAAGTGGTGACGATAATTTCAAAAAAGTAAACACATATTCATCTTTCCTAATTAAGATATACTAAAGTATCTAACCCTAATTCCTCCTGGATTCCTCCACAGTGAGACCTGTTTTACCTCCACCCTCAGTTGATGTGTCAGGCTCTGGTTCAGCCGATCATTCTGCCAGCGGTGAGCTCTCTGGGGAGTCTGGCACCTCCAGCACTGGTGGTGAAGCATCTGGATCAGGGGAGGAAGTCATCTTCAGTGGACAAACTGATGTCTTCTCTGGAGATCAGTCAGCCTCTGGAGGACCACAGGAGGCCGAAGGAGGAAGTTCTGTCATCTTCACATCGGGAGAAGTGGGTAGTACATCTGGATCTGGATCTGGTGAAGGGTTTGACAGACAACACTCTGGCTTCAGTGTATCGGGATCGGGTTTTACCAGCGGAAGTGGAGACATCAGTGGAGACTCGATGATCATCATGGTCGATGGAAAGATGGTGGAGGTGTCAAAAACCCACCAAACATCAGTTGAGCAGGAGCTAGGCCAGGGTGGCATCGATACCAGTGGGGGCTTCTTGGAATCAAGTGTGTCTGGATCTGGAGGTATGTCTGGCTCAGGCACCAGTGGGTTTTCTGGCATTTCATTTGTCGACCACAGTGCTATCGACCTAACAGTCCAGCCATCCGGCGAGCAAGAGGTGTCTGGATATCACCCCTTTGGATCAGGATTCCGCAGTGGCCTCCCAAGTGGGTTTCCATCCGGTTTTTCAGGCAGTGGCTCTGCTTCCGGAGATTCTTTCCAACGTCGAGGTGATGTCATCTACTTAACAGATGATGAGATGATAGAGGTGACCGTATCACCACTGGAACACCATCTTGAGCAGGGTCGGGGTGTGGTAGAGGTGAGCGGGGAAGGAAGTGGGTCAGGGATCCACCGTGAATTCAGTGGCAGCTTGCATCTCTCAGGAAGTGGAGCTCCTAATGAAAGACCAACTGCTGAGGGACTCTCTATCGCCCTGCCACCTGGTTCTACGATGACTTACACAGAGCACGTTGCCTCTATTGGCCAATCTGGACTTGGGGAGATTGGTCTGGAAGGGCCCACTGGACTTACAGTAGTGACTCCAGATGCAGCCTACACCAGCCCAACCACAGCACCATCAGTGTCATTAGCAACTCCTGCTGTTGTGGAGCAGCCTGATGTAGTGGAAGGTAATGAATGGAGGTGTCTGCCCTGCTTGACTTGACTTGACTTGACTTGATATAATACTGTATAGCCAAATAAGCCACCATGCTCATGTGGTCAGCATTTGTCTGTAACTTTACAAATAGTCAAAATGGTAAAAAAAAAAAATCTAAGTCTCTCTCTCTCTCTCTCTCTCTCTCTCTCTCTTCTGTCAGCTTCTGTAGACCTCTGTGATCCAAACCCTTGCGGTTCAGGGACCTGCTCTGTGCAGGGAGAGATTGCTGTTTGTCAGTGTCCTACCGGTTTCACTGGTGAAGACTGCTCAACACGTGAGTACCAAACTACTGCACACTGAAAATTATGTTTCAACGCCACATGGCAGATGAGGTAGAAGGAATCGGATGCCATTTTAGAAATTCCATCTGTCGTCTATTTTTATGACTTTGTCAAAATATGTTTGTAGCTGTGCAGGGCTGTGCTGAGGGCTGGTTGGAGTTTATGGGCAACTGTTACCTTCACTTTGCGGAAAGAGACACCTGGTCTGAAGCAGAGCAACGCTGTCGGGAGCTCAACGCCCACCTGGTCAGCATAGGCTCCCAGGAGGAGCAGCAGTTCGTCAACTGTGAGTAACTGGTTGAGCACAAATGCATGATCTTCCTTATAAATAACATGCCAAAGACTGATTACAGTGTTTGTTGGTGGGAGGTCGGTCAGGGATTCTGTCCGAGCATAATTTATGGGAATGACATGTTTCATTTGTTCTAAAGGTCAAATCTCTTTCTTTTTGCTACCCAGCCAACGGTCAGGACTACCAGTGGATTGGACTCAATGACAAAGATGTGCAGAATGAGTTCCGCTGGACAGATGGCAGTCCTCTGGTGAGTTTGGTTGGAGATTGCTGACCATCTAGTTGTGTCCTTAGGAGGTCATAGCAACTGTATCACCATCTAACCTGATGTGTCTGACTTATTGTTTTACTTTGCTACTGTAAGAGCAGCTACCACTTTTTACTTTATATTAAAGTTGCCTATTGAGAAATGACTTACTTACTTACTGAGATACTGTTTGTATAATGTTCAGACTTTTGAGAATTGGAGGCCTAACCAGCCAGATAACTACTTCAACTCTGGGGAGGATTGTGTGGTGATGATCTGGCACGAGGGCGGACAGTGGAATGACGTGCCCTGCAACTATCACCTTCCCTTCACCTGCAAGACTGGACCTGGTTAGTTTACTGGTTTGGAACATACAGTTGGGTTACTAAAACCCTTGACCTTCTGTGGTTGGAGAAAACCTCAATCAGTTCAAGTTTTGTGACCCTCAACTGTCACTTGACATTGTCAGTTCATCAATAATTAGTTTCAAATTTTCCTCTCTTTCAGTGATGTGCGGAGCTCCGCCCGAGGTGGAGCATGGCCGGCCGATGGGCAGCAGCAGAGAGCACTACCCTGTCAACTCCATAGTCCGCTACCAGTGTGATGCAGGCTTTACACAGCGCCACCTGCCTGTCATACGCTGTTTGACAAGTGGACATTGGGAAGAGCCACAAGTGGAATGTACAGAAGGTAAGCTTCAAGGGAAATTCTGACATATAGAAAACTGTCAATATATTAAAAAAAGGTTTGTATCCTCTGCATTGTATGCCTTCAGTACAGAGCTGAGAGAAGGGAAGCAAATTTAACACCCTTGTTGGGGACAAAGCGGAGACATAGTTTATTGTCAACACCTAAACCCCTAGGATACCTGGATGTCCCTAGTGCTTGTTTTGAATCCATTCATGGACCAGAAGTAGAGGACCCAGAATGAAAAATAAGATTTAAACCTTGAAACAAATGGGGCATAATTTATACAGCGTGTGAAAGTCAGTATCAGTGAGGCAGGTGTAACATTTTGTGTACACCTCCTGTGGTGCTAACATTTCAGCATTGCACTGCCCATGGCAGCTTCTGAAATAGATCCTTTAGCCACACCACTCCCTGCAGTGTCATTTATAAGTCTTTTGGCAAGTCATGTTTACATGATGTCATCAGTATGCATACCTTTTCTCCCCCCAGTTGGCGCCAACAGTAACAGGCTACACAAAAGGTCCCTCAGGAGAAGAAGTAGAGGGGTCAGCAGCCGACAGGAACAGAGGAAACTCCTCTGAGCGAGACTGAAAGGACATACAACAGAGAGCCACAAAGGACCCCTCTTGTAAAGAAGCATGGATACCAATGCAAATACCCGACCAAAAAGATAGCATTCCCTATGATGTATATGCACACACTGAAGCACATTTAGACACTGGTAGTGTAACTGACAGATGTTTTGGATCTTTGAGTGTCACCCTGCACCTTCTGACAGCAGTTTTTCTTTGTATTTATAATTTATAGCTGCAATCCAGTATTTGAAATTACTATCTCAATGCACATGTTGATCTTTTCTGCAATCAGTTGCCAGCACTGCACACATTTAAGGTCGATATAATTGACAAACAGGGATACAAGAGGCTGAAGAGTAACACACAAAGTCCAAAACAGCCCAGTAAAAATATTTTAGATTCCCTGAAAAAAAATTTAAAAACCATTGTTTCTTTAGACAAGCTATATTTTTAGGGTATTTTTATAGATCTGTGTTTCTTAGCATTTGTTTTACTTTTTCTTTATTTAGTCTCAGAGAGGACAACATCTGTGAGCTTCAGACTGCTGAGACAAACTGTTTCTTACATTCCAGGCCAACACAGTGATTATCAAACTTTTTAGTTGTGACAGCGATACATGATGCAATACGGTTGCTTCATCTGGTTTGTCAAGCTCCAAAAAAATGTTGAAGCAGAAAAAAAACGCAACGTATTATATGTAAGCCATCATTCAGGCCATCAAAATGATTCTGTCACAACCTCATGTTTGACATCCACTGTGCTGCAACACCAGTACAGTATCAGATATACTGAAAAGATTGTGTTGTTCCGTTTAATGATGAATAGAAATCCAAGTTCAAGATATAATTCAAGTGCAACAAACCTGGATTGAAATTGTCAGCACTCATGCACTTTTGAGGTTTTCACTCACGTCTGTGCTAATTATTTGAATCCAGTGCACCTTAACCTGTTTAACAAAAAAAAAAGAAAAACCTCATCTGTAGCAAAACGTGACAAGCAAGCCAGTAGCAAGTGCGATCAGACTGGCTTTCCTGCCAGGACGATGCACAACCCCACCTCACTGGGTCATCTGATGCTGTAAAAGATGCATATCCAGTTTTGCAGGTCGGAGTTTTAATTTGTCACTTCTCAAAGTCCATCCGTGACCTCCGTCAACACTCCAATGTGAGAATCACGGATGTTTGGAGTGACGAGTTTCTCACTGTAAATATTCTCACTGTAATTCTCTGAACAGCAGGATCTGTCAATAACTTACACAGAACAGACAGTGTAATAGTTTGTTAGATTTACTCATCAACCTGTTTAATGATTTGTTAGTTAAATTAAACTGGATTTTGTACCAATCAAACGGGCATGACTGGTTTGACAGCAACTGTACAGAAGAAGACACAAATTAGGGATTTTTTGTTTTGTTTTTTTTAATTAAAGTCTCAGATATCTTTGTGGAGGTTTCTGTCTGTTTGTCATCGACAGAAATGTGCTTCTTAAAAACCTGAGAAATTAGAAGCTGTGAAAGCAGAAGAAAATATAAAAATGATGTGGAGACGGTTGAGGTGGATGGGGAGGTTGTAAAATGTTGACCATGACCTTTAAAGGTCAAGATTTGTTTCAATTCTGAGAGCAGACAGATACTTTAGTCCTTATCTGACTTCTCACAGAATACCTTGTAAACACTGAAACATTTCAGTCTTTCATGGACACACACATTCAGTAAACTTTACAGAATATGAAAGCAGATGAGAGAACCTCAGTATACCACAAAGCAACGTGCCTTGTTTTTTGCAGGTTCTAGACAAACAAATACATGAAGGAAGTCCATTTGGATGCTCCTGCAGTGTACTGTTGGTACAAAAAAGTCTCAAATTTCAATATTAGGAAACATTAGGACAGCTGAACAGCTGAATGAAGCCAATGAGCTAGAAATAAGTGTGTGTCTGTATCAGTGTTTGCGATTTACTAATTCTTCAGCAAACTGAACAAATAAACCAAAATATGAGTAATGTTTCACACAGACATCATGTCTGTTGTGACCTTGTTTAGATCCCGAATCCCGATGTGAACATACAGTATGCTCTACTGTTCCGTGCCAAATAAAACTTGGAATCATGTGTCTCTGTGAAATCCTTGTCCAAGCGTGCAAACCTGTCACTTTTCAACCCAGCAGTCACTGACATTTTTTATGAAGTAACTGTAAAGGGCTCTTTGCACTATATGTTCCATAACTTATGAAAATTATGTCGTTTTCTGGAAATATCTTTCCTTGCAGCAGTTAAATTTGAGGTAAACTCTTCAGAGCCAGAGGCACAAACCTGGCTTTTAGTTTGTTTTTGCCTTCCTGTGGAACCCAACCGTGAAAAAACACACAATAAATAGCTCCTTCATCAGCCTCTACAGCGACTACCTTCATCACTGCAGTCATTGCAAACAGATCTGCTCTGTGTATGTGTATGTGTGTGTGTGTGTGTGTGTGTGTGTTGGGGGGGGTCTAACAGGGAGAGTAGTGCTGCATGTATATTAGGTTAAGGGTGGTGCGTGTTTATAAGCATCTATGTGGTGCATACATCTCTGCAGTCACTCAGTCCATACGTGTGCAGTAATCTGAAGTGCATGTGCAGTCATGTAATGTGTGTGTACACATGTTTGGCCAGCAGGTGTAAATAGGATGTGTTTATAAAACCTGCTGGCCATATAATCACTAGGACTTCTGTTCGCACCCGGATGCAGGAGGGTGTAGCGATGTGCTGGACTCCACTCATCTAAAAGTGCATCGTGCCCAGACAGACTGGCGAGTGTTAGCTTTACATACAGTGGCCGTTTTGTGTGGGTCAGTAACCCATCTCACCTCTCTACCCTGGCATTCCTGTTTGAACAGTTAGAGAAACTGTGTCGTAGCTTGTGAGCAAACCTACCAGTGGTGGTTTATGGTCTACAACAAATTTACTGAACAAATCAGAGAAAGTGATTCAGGCTTACAAATGACCAATTAAAGAAAGAAAGTACCCTTCCACTCAACAATGTATTTTGAGCAATGCCATTTCTATTGAACTTCATTGTGCTGAAGCATGTATGTTCAAGTTCAAGTGGGAGAAAAGCAAACCAGTCCTGCACCTTTCAGCAGCTTCGTGAAGTGTGAAGACCTGGTGCTTGTACCGCACTTACACTGAGAATGGATGTTTAGTGAAGTAGATGATGTACTTTAAGAATTTCTAAGCAGGTAATTGATTTTTTTTTTAATGGAAAAAACATTTCAGACACAAATGATCATTTAGAGCAGAGCTGATTCATACATCCAAAACATATTTTCAGAGTGCACATATGAATGGTACATCCTGAACACCTTGCAATTTAGTTCAACATTCATGATGCCAGAAGAAGAATGCACATGTCCAATTTGTTAGTTCAGTCTAATAATCAGAGATACAGTCACTTCTACAAATGACATCGTAACTTACAAATGTAAATTTAATAATTCTTAACAGAAACACATTTAATTTAGTTAGTAGCACCTAACGTTCATTACTGATATATATTGGCCTATGCTGACGTCACTATAATGTTAGTATACTACTATACAAACTATGAGCTGATAATAATTAGATTTTTTTTCGGCTGACACTTTATCATGGTGTAAACTGCAGGCTTTGCAGTATGATAACTGAGGGCACGTTAACATCCAGTGGTTGTTAATTGTAAGCATGCTAATGTTAGCATACAGATCAAAGCAGAGTTCAGCACTGGTGACATTCAAGGCAGTGTCTATGGTTGGAAAAGGTGTTTATACTGACCTCCCTGTCTAATGTTACCACTGTGGTGCATGTAGTCTCAGATAAGCATTGACATGGCTTTAGAAATTGAATACCATCCATCCATTATCTATATACCGCTTATTCCTCTCTAGGGTCGCGGGGGGCTGGAGCCTATCCCAGCTGACTTAGGGGGAAGGCAGGGGACACCCTGGACAGGTCACCAGTCTATCACAGGGCCACACTTAGAGACAGACAACCAAGCACACTCACATTCACACGTACGGACAATTTAGAATCAAATGTTAATTTCTTTGGATTGTGGGAGGAAGTCGGAGAATCCAGAGAAAACCCACGCTACACAGGGAGAACATGCAAACTCCACACAGAAAGATCCCAGGCGTCCTAACTGGGACACGAACCATTAGCTTGTAAAAACAGAAAACCTGTAGGGTATTAAAGTACTCAAAACTAAATGTCAAAATGACAATTTTCCAATAAAATTGTATTTACAGCAGTGTTTTTATTAATTTGTAGAAAATAGTACAAATGTGTAGACATAGTGAAAAACAAGAAAGATACACAGGTGTAACAAAACACTGTTTCTTCTTCCACAATGTATGTAAACAAGGTAGTTTAGATATAAGAACAATACAAAGAATCACTCAGAAATTCTGCTTTCTCCAGCACAGAACACTACTCTTGATCACCCTTAGAAAAATGAAAAAGAGACACGTTATAGCTTATAAAATTGGATACACAGTATATTTCACATTGCTAGACAGGCAGAAGGAGTCTGTAGTGGAAATAATCTAAAGTTAGCAGTCTTAAGATGGAAATCTGTGGACCAACTGGGAAGATCTGACAGGGAAATAACAAGAAATACTCTCCACTCGCTCAACCATCAAGGTGCCCTTTGGCAAGGCTCAAAAGTATGTGATTGTAGTATGAAGCTGCCAAGAGTGAATGTCTAAATGTTTGTTACTGTTCTGGAGGACACTGCTTAAAAAGGCGATGGAAATTGTTGAATGGTTTTGTCCAATAAATAAGGGGTGGATGAAAGACTGAGGTATGTATGGAGAGCATTGAAATCATTTAAATATGAAGACTTTTCTTCCCTGGTTCTGAAATGTCTCATCTGTTAATTAAAGTCTGTGACGGCAGTGGAGCAAATTCAAGAATGTTCAGGCAAATACTAGAACTGGTAAAATTAAATTAGCTATGAAGGAAATTTATAACCCAAATAACTGAATCCAAGAACTAATCATGGCATGATGTTTTTTCTGCAGAATGCTGTTGACATTGAGACCCTATACTGTACACTCTTTAGACAATAGTATGTAGACAAGTCCATACACTTTTAATGTACTTTTTGTCTAGGACTGTTTTTATGGTTAGGGCTTGTCTCCTCAGGTCAAATGGAAACCTTTCTGCTACATCAAAAATATAAAATTTTGACAGTGTGCCTCCACATGTAAGGCAACAGTATGATAACTCACACCAATTTCCATAATATGGTTTACAGCTTCAAAGAAAAGTGAAGGTTCTCATAGCAGTATAATCATGCCCATGGTTTTATAATAAGATGTTCAACAGCTACATATGCATATGATGTTCCAGTGTCCACAAACTTTTGACCATATGGTGTAGATATTTAGTCATGTACAAGTGGCATCACTTGATGGGTGTGCACAGTTTAACGGTTGTTGACTGGTGGTTAAGTTTAACACTGAGAAGTTGGTCTCATGGAGGTGGAGAGTGATTAACCCAAATCACTTTAAAACAGCTCAGAAATGAACAAACTAGCTAACTGCTAACTTGCATCCAGGCTACAGCTAATGCTACCCTCCCGTCCCGAGCAGAGCTTTGAACCAGTTCACTGTTTGTTTCTGTTTTGTGCTGAGTCAGAAAGTCTATCGATAACAGTAGACACCAAATTTCAGGTACGGTGGTGGGAACCCAAAACTGCGCACACCTGGTTGCAATGGGCCACAGTTAGCCCGAGGCTTTGTGATAGGGTAACGGACACTTCCATCAGCCAGCCAGCCTGCGTCACAGCGGTCCAGTCCCATCAGCCTCCATGCGGCGTAAAGCTGCCCCACTTTGGCAATTTGACTTCCATCACTGGCACAGGCCTGGACTGCTTCAGTGAAGTTGAGCTTGGTCGGCTGCTTTAAGAAGTATGCAGTTCCTAAGGCAGGAGAGAACATTCAATGAAGACACTGGAATCAACTGAAATATTTGGATCTAACAAGTGTCACTTGCTCATACCGACCCTTGACAGAGGCTGAGAAGCAGAAAGCATCATAGCGGTGGAGAAGCTGATGTCGCTGTCCATAAGTTCGCAAACCTGGAGCTAAGTCTTCCCCCCCACAGCCATCACGTGGGACCGTTATTGGATACTGTACGGTTCCATCAGCCAGCCAGCCAGCATTACACCAGTCTAGCCCCTCTTCCCACGCTGTGAAGAGCTGCTCAAATGTAGCCAGAGTGGCGTCCTGATCCTGGCATGCTTGATGAGCCCCAAAGAAGTTAAAATGGTAGCGTCCTTTCTGAGAGTAGTAGGGGAACACCACACCTGCACATGGAGAAGTTTTTATGACAGTTTGTAAAGTCACACATTTCAAAAGGGTTTAGTACAGTCCCATTACCAAAGGATCAGATGTTTTCAAAATCACAGACTGGACATTAAAAAGAGAAAAAAAAGAGAACGCTTCCTGTTTGTTTTGCATATGAAGAAAGCAGTGACAATGCATTAATGCAAAGAACACTAGGGCAAAAATTTGAAGTAAACCTGCAAAAACTAATTCACCGATGACCTTTTCAAGCTAATAAGGTGAACCTGGTGGCAAAAATATGCTTATTTACATATACAGCTTACAGATATGGAGTAGGCATATGCATCCAGGGAGCAACTTTTGCCAGAATGCAGGGTCACCATGTTTAAACACAGTACCTTCTTCTCCTTAATGCAGCTATGGACACAACACCCACCTAAACTTTATGATGTTGTTATGCTATGATGAACAAATCCACTATTCACTGTCATTTTACAGTGCCTCCTCTTATGTCTCCATCACCTCCTAGGAAAAAATACTTTCCTGTTTTTAGCTGCTGCTTTGTTTACCTGCTAACATTGGACACAAACTTTAGCTGATTGAATAATACTGCTGCCTGTTCAGAAGCAACATCTTCCCAAGTCTCAAACCACAGAGAGCAGTGTAAAACTGCTAAAGAAAAATTAAAATAACATGCCAAATTGTACATTGTGTACATTCCTAAAATTACATATTCCTTCAGAAAGGAAGGAGCCTATCCCAGCTGACTTAGGGCGAAGGCAGGGGACACCCTGGACAGGTCACCAGTCTATCACAGGGCAACACTTATAGATAGACAAACAAGCACACTCACATTCACACCTTTGAAACTCAACATGTTTTTGGACTGTGTGGGAGGAAGCAGGAGAACCCGGAGAGAACCCACACTGCACGGGGAGAACATGCAAACTCCATGCAGAAAGATTCCGGTGCCCCCACCGGGACACAAACCGGCAACCTTCTTGCTGCGTGGCAACAGTGCTACCAACTGTGCCACCTTGCAGCCCAGTCAGGGTACAGCAACGAAGAAATGTAATTTGGCCCAAAACCATATATGTATTAAGAGAGTGGCCCCACCAGTCAGCCTTGGTGCTATTTTTTTTCAGTAACAATACCAGTACCATTTTTTTGTTGCAACATCAGAGTACTGTAACAAAAAAAGTTCCCCAGGGGCCAAAAAGCTTTATTTTTTCCCCACATTAACCACCTTTAGTTCAGTTTTAGCCCATCTAAAAAAATAATTTTTAATCAATGGAGTTTTTGTATTTGTAAAATTTCCACAGTGTCTACAAAAGAAAATTGGATTTTTTGCATTTTCACACTGTAGAAGCAAATATTCAGGCAAAAAAAACTTTTTTTGGCTCAGGCACCGGCACCATGTTTTGAGTCTGATGTCAAGTTCTCCTTTATCCATCCCTTCCTCAAATGTGTTTTCCCACAATTATTATCAAAGACATATTTAAGAGCTTTCACGCAGCGCCTCAAATGACAGACAAGGTTTGTATGATGAAATTTTAAACTATGGAGGTTTTCACATTGTACTAAACTTTTTCATATGTAAAGTCTATGAACTAAGTTACATCAAGTGAGTCAGGCTGGAGCAATTTTAATTCCAATGACTAAGCTATTATTGTAATCCAGCATCCAGTTCCTCTAATACATCCCAGTCATGGTTCCCTATTGACCACTTGCACAGGAACTGACTCATGTTGTGTATCCTAGACTCTCAAAGTTTTAAAAATCCATAAACAACCACATCAATAAATCTACTACACACATACACACACACATCTCACCCCGCAGCTCCAGCTCCACTGTCACACTCTCATCCTCCAGGCCGTCTATCACCTCACACCGATATCTTCCTGTGTCATTGAGTTGAAGCTCATTGATCACCAGAGACATGTCTCCTGGCGCTGAGCGCCTCAGCCGCACGCGACCCCGGAAGCTGCCGTAGCTACGGTGACGGTTGCCCATGGCGACCATAACCTCAGTCTCCCTGGCAAAGGCTTCAGGGGAAACAGGTGCAGTGATGGTGTTGGCAGGCAGCCAGGACCATTTGACACGAGTCCTGCGTGGTGTGGCCAGCTCAGGCTCGTAGTGGTAGTGACAGGGAAGGGTGACACTGCTCCCCCTCATGGCCGACACTGAAGGCTGGGGGGATTCCACATGGAGACGAACCCCATTGAAATAGACTAGAAAAAGCACAAAGAACCAGAAACAAAAAAAGCAATGAACTGTAAAGTCCTAACTTGGTTCTTTGCATTTAGTAGTGATGGGATTACTTATAATGATGACACAAACTGAGTCCCTCTTCACTGTGCCTTTCATCTTTGCTCTGTAGAAAGGTGTAGTAAAGTGGTCGGGTAATAGAGAACTTGCTTAGGTCTAACTAACAACATTATGATGGCTCTGTTTTATTTAGGTGACCCTAAATCAAAAACAGAATTGCATATGTTATTTGTTACAACTGTTCTCTCCCTGCTTTAATATACACGGATTATAAATTAAGGTAATTTTTGAACCCTTGAGCACTACAGTGAGGACATCTAGTGGCGCTGCTATGGAGGATGTTGTCCCTTTAATTCCATTTTGACAACTTTGAATTACATTGTACACAAATAAAACATGATAAATGCATAAAATACAATGCATTGTTAAAAGATCAAACATATGGTTTCTGACATTCTTGTTCTGTGGCCTTTTCAGATCCTCTCAGATTTCCTTCACAGGTTTCATTTAAACAACAGTTTCAGGCCTAAATGTTAAATTAGAAGCAAAGATTAAAGAAAAGAATATATTAATCATCTCACTTTTACATGAGGGGCCATGCGATGATTAATAGGATCTCAGATGTACCTGAAGGGTCATGGGAGGGGCTCTGTTATGCTGTGGGGGGAATTTGCTGCCATTGTTTTTGGTAACTTGTCCCGTCCAGGATGACAAAACCCCCATCCAGAGGACTTAAGTAGTCACTGGATGGTTTGAGGATTATTAAAATAATATGAATCATGTGTTAAGGCTACAAGGGCTGCAAGGTGGCACAGTTGGTAGTACTGTTGCCTCGCAGCAAGAAGGTTGCCGGTTTGCGTCCACCTGTTTGTATGTTCAGAAAGTCACAGGGAAAATTATATACACTCTATCAGACATTTGTTTTCTGTTCTATGTATATATACTGGGTATATAAAAACATTAAGATATTATACCGTTTCATTGAAACAGGAAATGAGAGAAGATAGTCACAGATGGAATTTGGCATGCCACTGCCAGTCATACTTTAGAAGTGTGTTGTTAAATTGGAATTGTTTTGTTTTATTTCGTATTTCATTTCAAGCAAACCTGGTGAATCCTGTGCACTTGTCATTTAAATGCAGTTCAATAAATAAGCCTTTACACGTGTCCAGTGATTTTTTTGTTGGTACACTTGATGTACTGTGCACTAAGAAATCCTCCTTTGTTGATGAACTTCAGTATTTATTGTCTGTTTTCCACAGTGTACCAAGAGCTGTTTCACCATTAGCGACAAAATTTGGTTTACCTGTGTGGCAAAATACACCTCTTCTTCTCCTTCTCTTGTCCTGACACATCCTTGAAAGTCAACTCTGTTTTCCCCCAAGTGACATATATCAATGAATCTGTACTTAAAGATTCTCAATGAGCTGTGTACAGTGGTTCCAAATATCCAATATTCTCCCTTTTATTTCTTATCTATCTGAGTTGAGGTGTATAAAACCACAACTTTAAACAAGTGAAACTATTTGACAATAAGAGAAGAAAAGAAACCCACATCCTGCACTTAGAGAGTTTGTTTTGATAACCCTGGCTGACTGCTGAGCTCCATGAATTACAGTTGTCTTCCCACATCCAGGTCACTTCCAGACAGCTGTGTTATGATGTACACAAATACTGCATGTTGCTGCTCTGTGTTTCACAGGTGCAGCTAACACACAAATCTTTAAAGCCTTCCCCTTCCATGTGCACACAGACACACAAAGCACCTACTCTCTCCGTTCCCGTTGCCGTTGCTGATGTCCTGGTAGTGAAAGCCATTGTTGTAGCCGAGGATCCTGCAGTGTCTACCGGGCAGCAGCAGCAGCAGGTAGGGGCAGATGGCCAGTAGGGGGCGCAGTAGACTGAGCATGATGCTGTCGGAGCTGAAGCAGAAAATACAGTCCTCTTTATTGAGCTCCTCCAACTTAAGAGCTGTCATAAATACCAGGCAGAAGTGCTGCAGTCAAATGAAAGCTCAAAACTGTTTGTCACACAGACTAAAAACGGTAGAAGTGAATAAATTAGACGGTAGACTGTGTCTATGAAGATAATTCTGCAGGAGACACGGCTTTTACTCATGAAGACAGGTTCATCAAATTTGACAAAGAAAGAAAAAACACAAAGAAAGATAACACCAAGAAAAAAATGGTGAATGGGAAAACATAAATTATTGCTCTAAATTAATCTTTGTGTAGTAAAATTCGTATTGTATTCGTTCTACAAATCCCCATTACAGACCAAATTTAGGCAGCTCTAAGTTAAAATGAAGTTCTTTGAGATGCATCATGATGCTGAACAGACGACATCAGATCGATTCCAGAAACTTTCCTCACAGCTCAGTCGAGAAATGTCGGAAATATGTACATATTGTATATCTTATTTTCCACAAAAGCATGCAGTTTCTCCCTCACATAACTTTACTAAAACATTTAACCTCTATCTTTCAGCAAATTTGGAATACTTTTCTTAAATTAATGTCTGTCAACCTCTGTTTTAAGCTGCTCTATAAAGTAGCCGCATCTCAAATAAGTCTTACCCTCTGTGAGTTTCAGGCTTGCGTCGCTCTAAAATTCACCTGGAATGCAAAAATACGCGAATTGTCTCCGGTTTAAAACGTGTCCTGTGAACGTCGGTTATCGGGAACGAGTCGGAGGTCGTGAACGCACTCAGCTGTCCGGCCGGTGTGTCTCCGGTTCACCTCGTCCTCATCCTCTGCCGCTCTCCGCGCGGCTCACCGTCCCGCAGGAGCGCGCGCACACGTCACGAGCCGAGGCATCCCGTTTGAAGTGAACGGTGACCTCATCCGTCACGAGCCCGTCACTCGCGAGCGCACACGGCACACACACACGGCACACACAGACATACACACACACACACACCTGGACAGATCTTCTGCTCAACACACCACAAGTAACACACTGACATCCAATACGACAGGCTACGCATGAGGAAGGTATATTTACTCACTTATGGTATAATGCTACTTTCTATTTTTACTCTGATGTAAAACAAATGGAAATGTCGTCCTACTTTTTATTCCACTATGAATAGATATGTTTGACAGCTGTAGATAGGAACCTTTTTGAGATGCAAATTTTACCTAAACAAAACCTTATGAAGTGATAAAATGCAGCCCATTGGTAAAGGATTTAACATGTGTTTTGCAACATTTTTGGCTTGCTGTTCTTTGATTTCCCCAGTTTCAGGCCAAAATGTCAAACTATTGCACAACAAGAGCAAAGATGAAAAACAATATTGAGGTAGATCTGTTAACAGGACTTTGTTGTTGCTTGCTTCCACTCCTATTAATTATCTCATGGCTGCTCACATTTACCTGAGGGGGCCCATGTAATGATTGATACACCCTCAGATGTAACTGAGGGGTCATGGGAGGGCCTCCAGTGGTTCCCAGCTTTGTGACCTCAGGATTTACTGCAAAAAAATGCTTTTGCATTTGAAACTTTAAGTACAGTTTGCTAATAATGTCATTATTTAAGTAGGTTTTTGAATGCAGGGCTGTTATGTCCTGTGTGAGTTCCTTTTTCTAGGTAAGGGAATTGAATACTTCTTCCCCTCCTTGCTATGAATATGATGTCAACATTGCTTTTAAATTAGAGGTTTTTCTGAATTTTAGACACATTTTAAACATATTTTGAAATTGTCAGCCAAAGACTGATGATAAACTCTACAGTTGCCAACAAACAACCAAAAATCTCAATTAAGATTTAAGAGTGCTGGGAGCCTGATAATGCAAACGTTTATATACTGATTGAACATATGAATGCACTATGTAATACTGTGTAAACTGTTTTCTATTCTTTTTAACACAGGGAAATAAGTACAACAAAATACAACAGAATAGACATCATGAAACAACAACGTGCAGTTGTATACAAAATAATAAAGGGAAGATAGAGTATGAGGTCAGAGACCAGAAATTACAAGTCAGTAACAAATCAGAGTTAATGAGGCTGGGTTTGGTGAACATTTTTAGAGATAGGATGATGTAATGTCCCATTAAAATACATATCCATCATCATCATCATGCAGCAGATTGTCTGTCGTACCGAGCTGTCTGCTATCGGTGGAGTTGTGGACATTCACGTATCTGGCTGTGACCCTAACTGACACACCAGCATCCAGCAACAACAGCTTGTTCTCGTCTTTCTCTTGTCCTCTGTGGCATCGTGTCATTTGAATCAAGTGGGGTTTTCATAGTCACCCGTCAAATATAAAGTGTCTGTGTCCCGGTCACACTATCTGATCCTTGTTATTTAAAACCACACCTGACGAGGGTGTGGATTTACTCAGTGGACAAGAATTTGCCACCAGTTGAACAGCTCAAAAAACTTTGTGCAAAGTTGGAGAAATTTGTCCTTTTTATGCCACTTTGATCAGCTAACATAAGTGCATAACAAATAATTGATTGTTGAAAGATCAAACATGGTTTCTGACGTTTTTGGTCTGTGGCCTTTTGAGATCCTTCACAGGTTTTATTTAAATAACAATTTCAAGCCAAAATGTCAAATTATTTCACAACAGAAGCAAAGACTGAAGAAAAGAGTAAGAACATATTTGTGTAGCAGAACTTTGTTGTTTCTTGCTTCCTCTCCTATTAATAATCTCATGACTGCTCATATTGACCTGAGGGACCATGCCATGATTAATAGGCTCTCAGATGAGGGGTCATGGGAGGGGCCCCAGTCATTCCCAGTTTGGCCCAACCGCAGGATTGTAAGCAACAGATTAAACAGTCTTAAATAGTTCACAAAGCTCCATCTTAACAGGGAAATGTGCCTACGCATACTTATTAATAATGTCATACATAACAATGCACCAGGGCTGTTACTTTTTGTACGTGTGCTTGGGTAAAGAAACTGAATACTTTTTCCACCCCTGACTATGAATATGATACCAAGACTCAATGGTCAGTCAAAAAAACTGATGACGAACGCTACAGTTTCCAATGGATCAACCAAAAATCCTAATCAAGATGTAAAAGTCCTAGTAGCCTGATCATGTAAACATTTATAGACAGATTGTACATAATAAAATAAAATTGGATAGATTTTTCTGTTCAGTTGTGTATCATATTTCGATCACAACAAGGCTTAATTACCAAATACTGATATGAATATTGGAACAGCAGTTTGAATAACAG